TTCTTTTTACCTGTTCAATTTCAGTTGCCAAGAATCGAGCGAATATCCGTTACTGTGTAACGGTATGAGCTTCATAAAAAGTAACACGTGCAGTAATTAAACTCCAAATCTGAATCATCTTAAGATATCTGAACGCATAATTACTGCTAACCCTTATTTTTGTGAATCTTATAAGATAAATAAATATATCCAGAACCTTATCAGTTGGTAGTTATGTTCTGGAACATCCCCTTAATTTTTACTCTCATCAGTTTCAATATTTCGCGCACCACTTCGGTACGTGCAACCCAGTTTGCGTACCACCGTGATAATGTAAAGAAGTTCATTCAGGCTGTCTGAGAACGAACCGCTTCGTACTTACGAGAGAGGAAACAAGAGGAGATTGCAGAACATCTCGCAATTAGGAGCTACATAATTTGCATTCGTCACAGAATATTATTATGATGGCGAAATAAAAGAGAATGAGATGGGCGAGGAATGCAGCACAAATGAAAAACCTGATTAATATACAAAAATGTTAATTCGACAGCTTAAAGAATTTGTTCAACTTTGTAAACACTGAGTTAAATGGGAAGCTGATATTAAAAAGAATCTTAAATAAATAGGGCGTGAGGATGTAGACTTCTTTAAGCTGACTCAGGATAAAGACAACTGTCTTCATTTTTGGGATACAGCAGTAAACTCCATTTTCCCATAAAAGTGGGAATTACTTGCCCACATGATTGACTATCAGCTTCGCAAGAGCTACATTGTGTTACGGATATGCTTATACTAAGCCCACGGGAATAAAACCCGTGCATAGTGAGAACGGCAGCTCCAGAGAGCTTTCCTCTCCAGGCCAGCTAGCCCAAAGCAATTGTCCCTCCTCATTCACACATTTATGTCTTTCATGCAACACAAACACGTCGCAATTAAATGTGGTTTTAATCACATTTTAAAATAAAGGAGTGACCTTTCACAGTCTACAAAGGCTAAATAGCTTGCAATTAAAATGGTTTTAATGGCATTTTAAAACAATGGACAGACAGTTCACAGTCTACAAGGACGAAATATTTTTAATTAAACGTAGTTTCAATGACATTTTAAAATAAAGGACAGACAGTTCACAGTCTACAAGGACGAAACATGTTGCAATTAAATGTGGTCTTAATGTCATTTGGAAAAAAAAAGGGGAGACCCTTCACAGTCTACAAGGCCGAAACATGTTGCAATTAAATGTGGTTTTAATGTCATTTGGAAAAAAAAAAGGAGAGACCCTTCACAGTTTACAAGGCCGAAACACGTTTCAATCGAATGTGGTTTTAACGACATTTTAAAATAAAGGAGAGACCGTTCACAGTCTACAAGGACTGACTATGTTGCAATTAAATGTGATTTTAATAGTATTTAAAATGAAGGACGGACAGTTCATAGTCTACAGAGACGAAATATTTGTAATTAATTGTGGTCTTAATGACATTTTAAAATAAAGAAGAGGCCTTACATAGTCTACAAGGCGGAAACATATTGCAATTAAATGTGGTTTTAATGACATTTCAAATTAATGGAGAGACCGTTCAGTCTACAAGGTCAAATCATTTGTAATTAAACGTAGTTTCAATGACATTTTAAAATAAAGGACAGACAGTTCACAATCTACAAGGATGAAACATATTGCAATTAATTGTGTTCTTAATGACATTTTAAAATAAAGAACAATCCTTTCACAGTCTACAAGGCCGAAACATGTTACTGATTTACTTGTCTCGAATCTGAGACAGTAAAATATTGTCGCGAATCCCCTCGGGACTCGGACCCAAGAATGACTGCATTGGCGAGGGCCAGCCTCAGTTGTAAACGACAAGCCCGTCCTCTCGACAGAGAGAGCGTCCCATATCATCAAACCCGTAACTATCTGACAGTAATAAAAATTTGATCGTTAGCCCAAGTTGTGTGCTATATTCCAAGGAACACTGCCCGACTGACCGTCAGTCGTAGCATAAGACTCGACTCAACTCAACTAAACTAGACTCGAGAGGGGCTGCCCAGTGATCGAGGTTAGCTCTTTCTAAGGGACCCAACTAAGTAAGTGTCTTCCCCCTCACCTGAAAACGGAAACAGATCCGGTTTCCGAAACGTCGTGTTTTTTTTTTTTGGTCTCTAGAATAACGGACGATGGGAAAGTCCATAATCCCAGTAATTCTGAGTCTTACACACCATCGTCAGAACTCTGTATTATCTTATTAACTGCTTATTTGTGTTCTGTCATTGTGTTGCATTTGTTTCCTGAGCTTTCACAGTTAAAGCGTAAAGAGTTTCATAAAATGTAATTCTACCTACAATCACTATAATTAAAGTTCCTGCGATTATAGAAATGACAAATTAAGATCGATGTATTTCTCACATCTCAATACAAATAACTGTGAATTTCCATTTATGCCTCTATTGTTATTATAGTCCCCTAATGTTCACAACGTCGCCGGTCTTTATATAATTATCTTTATAAGTCTCTTTTGATATTACATATTCGCCATCAAGGAATAATTTCGTTTGTTACTTGGGTACGATCTCTTGAAGCTTAGTATTTAGCGTACGGCAGGGACTTGTCATCTTTTGTTTCAGTGACATCCTAGACAACTGAATGGCACGAGTACAAACCCACATCAGATCTTGCGTAATTGAAATGAAAAGTGTGACAAATGTTTCTAAACTTTCATCAAACAAACAGACGTGTAACAACATTGCGTATGTATGTCGACGTCATGTACGTGTGGGCGTACGTATGTATGAGAAGAATTACTTATTGATTTTACTTCCGTTAGGTGTACATGTACAACGTGAGGGGCACTGAGTCGGACACTCCCCTTCTATCTGCACGGTTAGAATGTCTGCATCTATTGATCCATTCACAGAAAACCCTTGTCATTATAAACACGTCACTGTAAAAGTATAATGTTTGGGGGCGGTGTTCGAAGCACATTATTGGCACAGAAAATGCTGTCTTAGAAACATAATAAGGGGATTAGTAACATCTCTAACTTTGACTTCATATTGTGACGTATGGACCCATTACTAGGCAACGACTTGATAAACATTCCCGCGGAAGCGTAGGCGCACAAAAATAGGACTCAACTACTAGGTAATGGATCAGTATACAAGTCTTCTCAAGAACAGAGATGCGGTGTTTTCTCTGTGGTCCGTGCCGAGGTGTTATAGAGGAACAAAGAAAGTCGTTTGAGAAATTTATTGAGAACTGGGTGGAGTTCTGGAGATGGCAGTCGAAAGTGACTGAGAAGAAATAGCAAAAAATGAATTAGACTGTGAAGAGAACACTTCATATGTGACTTTAAGTAACAGTACGACTGATACAAATCCGTTGCCAGGATACGACTAGTGAAGGCCGAGAAACCTAGCGCGTGTGTAACGATGAAATATAAAGTGCGCAGATAAGCGATAGCACTGTATTTCCTGTAGTCCCGAGTTGCGAATATATAAGGTACAATAAATCCAATCACCCAATCCAAAACCCCGTCTATAGTCACCCATACACCTGAAGAAATTTGTATTCTTCATTAAAAAGAAGCGGAGATAGCTCAGTAAGTATAGCTACTATACTACGAACCGGACGACCGGAGAATCGGTGTCAGATTTCCGGTAGGGAAATAGATTTCTTTCTTTCCCACAGCGTCCAGAAGGGCTCTGGCTTCAGCCCATCATCCTATCCGGTGGGCTACAAGGGGATTATTCTCTGGGGGTAGGAGGAGGCGGTCAGGATGTGAAGCTGATTATTCACCTAAATCCGGTTCACAGATTAGGAATGCGTAAAGCTGGCCCTCAATTACCCATACGTCTTCATGACGTAAATCTACATTTTACCTTTTACTTTCAACGTCAGTAATTACTTCTCTTGACCTGCTGCAGGTCTAAGTAAACGAACTGCACACACACTTAACTGCAGAGGCCTTCCTCCTCCACTCCTCCTCCTCATCGTCATCATAGTCATCATTGCCTGCAAGGTTTGAATTTGTTGGCCCATTCCGTACTCAAATATGAAGCTATCTAGCCACCTTCTTCTTCGTTCTCCTAGATAACATCTTCCTATCGGTTAATAATAATATAAAAGTTGTTTGCGAGCTCATTCTGACGACATCCTCTGAAGGTGTTTCAATCAGCCTTTCTCCCTTTCATGTGTATCTCCTCTGCTTCCTCATTCCTCGTTGTGACCTTGTTTCGCATCTCCTTTCCTTGCCCTATCCATTATAACCTGCGACATAGCGTAGACATCTCATCTCTGCTGCTTCAAGTCTTTCAGCCTTTTTTCACCGTTCTCCTGAGATTCAACATTTTAATGTTATACATCAGGCACGGCACTGCCGTGACTTTGTAGAATTTTAGCTGCTATCTGTCTTTGCTTTGAATCGGTATAGCGGCTGGCTACGCACTGGACGACTGAGGGGTCCGAGTTCGAATCCTGACAAGGGCAAAAATGTTCTCTTCTCCGCGTCTTCCAGGCTGGCTCTGGGGCCACCCAGCCTCCTACACAATGGTTACCGGAGGCTATTTCCGTGGGTAAATCGGCCGGGGAGTGAAACTGACCACTCGCCTCCAACTAGTGCCGAGTTGAAGAAAATATGGATCTATACATCCACTCCCCATGCGTCTTCATGGCGTACTCTTTATTCATTAAGCACAGAGACAGTATTATCTTCCTTTGTTTTGCGTCCCAAAGATCGACGTCTAAGTTCCTTATTCTTTTCTCTGCACTTGAATATTTATTTCTTCACCTTCATTTTTTCGAATGACATCAGTCTGCTTGTGTATTAGGATATAGCCGCTTATCCATTACTCCATTTAGATATGCTTAAGCCTTATCCTATATTTTCCATTATTTGTATATGTAATGATCTCATTCAAATGCGCGAACGTGAATTAGAATGAAAAGCTGTGTCAGGATTTAGTTTTGGGCAGCATTTTGAAGGAAATGCTTTAAAATCCCTTATTTTTATTTCCTTTCTTTTCAGGATGGTGTGCGGAATTGGACTTCTCCTGGTGGTGCTTTTCATAAGCCTACCACAGTGGTGCTGGGGTGGACTCTGCCCCCGAGAATGCTCATGTTTCCTGGACAGCAGAGGCCGTCGCCAGGTCACGTGCTCACGAGGAGGCCTGATACATCCAATTCCTATACACTCCATGGACCAACAAGTTGAAGTGATACTAATAACAGCGCCTGCTGATAATCCGAATTTTCTCACAATTGGTCCAATTTTCCAGCAGTTCAGCAGGCTAGAAGAGTTACACATAGTGCGGTCAAACATACCTGCCATTGGTAGACATTCATTCTGGGGAGTGCCAACACTTCAGAAGCTGAACCTCACGCAGAATAACATTTCTCACGTTCTGGACTATAATTTCCGTGGCCTTGCGAATCTCCTGGAGTTGCATCTAGATGACAATCGGATCGAGTCCATGCCAAGTGGCACGTTCAGATATCTGCACGAACTCAGAGTTTTGTCTCTAGCCCGCAACAGGATCACAGAACTTGTTCCCAGACTATTTCTGATGCTTGGCAAGTTGCATCAGTTGGATCTCAGCGGAAACAGGCTTATGGAGCTAAACCCGGAGGTCTTCAAAGATGTTCAGGTGAGTTACATTGGTATGTTGAACCGAAATGAGTCTAGAGATTATCAAGACACTGATGTTTCAGACTTTGGTCTTCTGGACTGTCACCGTATAGTCTTGTAGGTTGATATTGACATTTCGGAGGAACATTTTGCCTCAGTCTTCCGATTGGGCTCCATCTCCTCTATCCCTTATCGTCGGTCGGAGTGACCGCATTCATTAGAATCTGCCATTTTTATTCTACAAATTTCAACCCTGAAGACGGAAGTAGCAATGTGTCTCCGAAACATACGTGTCTGTCTATAAGATTATATAGTATCACAGTCGATAAAATCACAATACGTATGATGTACTGGAGTTTCCATTCTACGCATATAACACTCAGTTTTATCCATTATGGCAAAAGGTAATAGGTCAAGTTGTCACTGCACATAATTAAGCTTTACGACATAATGGTGTTGTATAAGGAGTGGATACATAGATCCACATTTCTTGAACTCGGCACTAGTTGGAGGTAAGTGGAGAGCTTCACGCCTCGGCCGCTTTACCCCTGAGGAAAGAGCCCTCGGTACCCATTGGATAGGAGGTTGGTTGGACCACCTAGACGCCGTGGAGAAGAGAAAAAATTTGCCCCACCGAGACTCGATCTCCGACTCCTTCGTCCTCTAGCCCGTAGCCAGTCGCTATACCGACTGAGCTATCCCGGCTTCCAGTTTTATCCATTAAATGCAAAAACTTGGCAAACAGCTAGTCTTCCTTCGTCTTTCTTGGATTATTATAATTGATAAGATTACACAGCGCAAATGATAGAATATTGTTGATGATAGTGAATTCGGAAAAAAAATATTAGGGGAGTGATTATGGCCTAATAAGTTATTATTCCGTTATTTAGTTGGAGGGACTGAAGAGAACCATGAAATACCTTAATTCAGAGAGTCGGTCTCCATACGGAGATCTGAACCCAAGACTTCCCGAGTGCGAAGCAGGAATCTTAGACCATGACGTTCGGTATTTTTCTACTTGGTGTAAGATTTGAGAAATCCGAATTTATAAATGAGTTCTCTACCGAAAATTGTAATTGCATCATTTAATAATATTACTATCAGTCTTTGGCTAAACTGTTTATTTCGAACTGTGAAATAAGTTATTAACTAGTTCGATAGTTCTACGTTATAACAGTACCTATTACGGGTCAGGAAGTTCACGTAATTTCAATTCATTCATTCATGGAGCTGAGCCATTCTTGAGAAGCCGCCAATTGTGCAGTTACACAGGATTTTCGCAGCATTTTATGGAACCCGAAGGTGCATTACGGTGTTACAAGAGCCTTCCACTGGTCCCTATCCTGAGCCAGATCAATCCAGTTCATACCATCCCATCCTATCTCTCTTAAGATCCATTTTAATATTGACCACGCACCTACATCTTCGTCTCCCCAGTGGTCTTCCTTCTGGCTTTCCCACCAATATCCTACATGCATTCCTCTTCTCCGTCATTTGTGCTACATACCCTGCCAATCTCATCCTCCTTGACCTAATCATTCTAATTATACTACTTAAGTACAATAATAAATAAAAATACGATTCCACTAGCAAAAAATTCGGACAATTCAGTAAATTTTAAGAGTAATAAAATATAAATACTTATTCTCGTCACTTTTGAGTATGGAATTTAAATTTCGCAATGGATATATTTGGATTTATATATCCAGTCCCCGATACGCCCTAAGTAGCTAAGCATAGGGATAACTTTACCCCTTTTACCTTATATTTGACTTGAAATGTCGGCATCTACTTCGAACAGTATTTTATATAATGGTTCACATACCTAATGAAATCTTCATTTGTTTAAGAGGCCTACAATTCATGTAATTCATGTATTAATTCAGTTCCCCCTCAGGAAACACACTGAGTCTCTGTTACAAACATCAGCATATCAATTATATTTCGGGAAATAATCACTATAAAATTTAAGTTTCTCACTGAAGTGAATTGTGAGGTGCTCAACCATAATATGAGTCAACTCACTCAGTAAAACGTCAGGCAATATGGTTAGTTTCCAAGATGGGGAAGGGGGGATTTCCCTTCATCAAGTCACCCACTCAGCCCGTTGCAAATGGCTATTGGAGGATATATTCTCTTGGGTAAAGCAGCCATAGCGTGAAGTTCACTACTCACTTCCTTCTAGCCTCCACAGGTTTCCATGGCGTTGTACGTACTAACAAGAAATAATTTTATCTCGACTCCATTATTGTGCTGTAAAACAGGCTACGGCTTCGAACTACTACTCTTTAACTCTTAGCGAAAGAGAAATGGTGAACATAATCAATAGCGTAGGATTTGAGGTTCTCATAGATACGGTTATGAAGAGTTCTATCTTCCGGGGTACAACGCCGTGCAGTCTGTTGAAACTCAACGGACGTTTCGGAGGAACATTTTGTCTCCATATTCAGTTTCGAAAAATAAACCGTTGAAGAAACCAGGGTGCAAGAAGGTAGCAAGCATAACTCTGAAGATGGATGCGATATGTTCTTCCGAAATGGCAATTGACTGTCAACGGACTACACGGCGTTATAATCCAGAAGACAGCACTCTTCATAAAAGGTAAAGAAGTTGTCCATATGCTTAACTAATTAAGCACTACCCCGTGAAGACGTTTGGGGTGTTGTATGTGTAGGTACATATTTTCTTGACTTCTGCACTAGTTCGAGGTGAGTGGTCAGCTTCACACCCCGGCCTCTTTACCCCCGGAAAGAGTCCATTGCATAGGAGGTTGGATGGACCCCAGATCTTGTCTGGAATACATGGAGAAGTTAAGATTCTTGACCCTACCGGGACTCGAACTCCTACTTCTAGGTCGTCCAGCTCGCAGCCAATCGCTATACCGACTACGCTACCACGTCTCCTTACCCTTCAGAAATAACAAGTATTTACGTAGCAGTGAAATGTCTTTATGACCTGCCGAAATTGCTGAGTTGGTATGAGGTCTGACTCTGTTCTACAAAAAATAACCTATATTAAATGTTGTTATCTTGCTCTGCAGGAGCTGCGAGTGTTTCGATGTCGAGGCTGTGGTCTCTCCAACATCAATACTCTTATCTACCGCCTGCTGCCGGACCTGCTCTACCTCGACCTGGGTGACAACGAGTTCAAATATGTTACATCAGATGAGTTCCGGTATCTGAGGAACCTGCAGCTTCTCATGTTGGACGGAAATCAACTGTCTGTTGTGCTGGAACGGACATTCGGTAACAATGGGGCTAGCGGCGGACAGATCGACCTACAGACACTTTCTCTTGCTCGAAATCGTCTTGCTAAAGTCACCGCAACAGCATTTGCAAATCTTACCACTCTACAAGAGTTGGACTTAAGTTACAACAAGCTGGACCGCTTGGAAACCGCTACTTTTATTCCTCTAACTGAGTCGCTTCGTCGGTTGAAACTCAGTGGCAATTCAGTTCCTCTGTCAGAGGTAAAATACGTACTACAGGTCATTCAGAAACTCCGTGATCTTTCTTTAGCAGACATGGGAATCACTAATCTCCCACTGGGGCTTTTCGTGTACCACGAACACCTACGATACCTCAATTTGTCCGGCAACAACATTGCGCACTTCCCGGCACAGATACTATCTCCGGTTCAGAAGTTACAAGAAATTGACCTCTCGAGAAATAGATTTCGTGGTTTGGACGAGAGACTGATATTGAGATTAGACGCTATAAAGACTATACATCTACAAGGAAACCCATGGATATGCGACCTCTGCCACATGGCATACATGTTGAATTATATGAACAAGACCACCGTCGGTGTCGCCATGAGAGAGCTGACATGTGCTTCGCCGTACACATTGGAAGGAAGATTACTTGGCTCTCTGTCCAGATCCTCATTATCGTGGTGCACGAGTAGTGATGGCGGTTTGGGCTACATGGAAAGTGGTGGAGGTATCGTGTCGACCAACTTCCTAGCAGAACACTCGCGGTTAGGCCTCCTCGCGGCAGGCGCTGCTCTCCTCTTGGTACTTCTGACGGGGGCAGCGCTCTTAGCAGGTATCGCATATTCTCGTCACCACGCAGCCCACTATTACACACACGAAGAACAGAGAGGACCTGAACATGAGGCCATCTTCGAGAATCCAGCCGCCATCCTTGATGAGAACGGAGATATTAAATACAAGATTGTGCCCTTGGATATAACGAAACCACCTCCGAGAAAGAAGAAGGTGTCTATTTCTACTATTGATGGGATCACGAAAGATACGGAACTGCATTCATTGACTAATGGGACCTGAGTAGTGCGCTTCAGTGACACAGTGGAAACTCATTGCTAGTATTTCGCACAAACTAACGTCCCCCACGAGGGGCGCCACCTACTTACGGCATGAGTGAGTGTCACTGAAGTGAACCACGTACATACGAAATACTTACATCAAACACTGTGAGACATTCGGTCATTTTGTTGTTCGACCTCAGTGCTACTGTGCGAATTTTAAGGAAAGAACCCCCATTCTCGATTGATTTCCATCTGTTTTCTTTCTGAGACGATTCGTCAAGTGTTTCCATATACTCACTTCCATCACTGGATCTTAACAGACAGTAAAGGTCCACGTAATATACTCGTACAGTGATATCAGAGGCCTGTGTGGAATTGATTTTCGATATGACAAGCAACTCTGCTGAAGCTACAGGCAGGGAATTTCGCGAGTGCAAAGTGACATGCACCTTGTACCAGTGGAGTAAGGTGAAGAGGACCTGGCTGGAGGGAGGAACCCTTTTCGCCCTCTTATTTTTAAGAGAATTCTTATTATTGCAGGAGTGACTCTTATTTCCACCCTTTGGTTTAATTAACGATCTTTTCTCCCTTCCTCAAGTCATGGTGCCACTGAGGGTGCAATGGTGTCAGAAGTGTACTGAGCTTCCAAACACAAAATTGTTAAGAAGATAAACCTCAGAAGCTTTATTTTATTGAAGAGTTTTTATATATAAAGGTTCCGACATAGACACTGTGAGTGCAAGGAATGATTAACTATGTAACAAAAAGTACATACAATGTACATAAGCTATATAATCGATTTGAATACTCATTCTATATTTTATTCTGCCATATTTATAGTTGTGCTGCACACTACGAAAAGGACAGGATAATGTGAAATGTGCTGAAGGCAGACAGTGTAAATAGTAAAGAATATCTTTTATATAGAAATAGAATTTGATTAATTATTTAGCATACAGTTTCCGTGAGGAAAATGAAGTGTTTTCAACCCAGAAAATTCTATTTTTAATCTCTTTTAAAGATCAAAGAAAACATGTTTTGTTAATTGTCCAAGTTGCCATGAACGGTTTGGTTAAAGCTAGAAAGACAACTAACAGGCGTAACTAAATATTATGTCCCAAAATTCTCAGTGCATATCATGTGATGAGAGCGAATTTGCTATTCCAAATCCAAGCGTGCCATTTTCTGTGTGATTTTTCTTATGGGACCACGCTTATCATTCCGCTATAAACTTTTGCGAGATCACAGGGGGACAGTTACAGTTGATTATGATTTTGTAAATGTTTTGCGAGTAATTTACATTTCTCGTAATGGTATCTAATGCCTACATAACTAGCTGATAACACAACAGATATTTTAATGGACCTAAAGTGCATATGGTTCCTTTCCAGTGTAAAATTACTCCGACAGAGAATTAAAATACAATAAAATAATTTTTTTAAAAGTTCAGAAATCATAGTCGTTAATTTTGATTTACTGTTTTCACCCCCTAACTCTTTGTATTCTGAGGAGGGCTCAAATATTTTATTCTATTAGAGTCTGATTCGTCTGTGGTACTGACTCCTGCATTGCCCTATGTTATAAGTTCATGCCCTGCTCTATATTTGTACTGAATTATTTCCTAAGCCTAATAAACATAACGGGACATATATCTACTACTACTGAGCAAGATTGAAATTTGTTTACCTGAACCTTGAACACAGAAGATGATGACAGTAGACAGTGTGCAAAGTGCCTTTCGTTCTTGCATGCCGTCCTTTCCTGTCTACGTGTAATTTCATGTAGCGGAGTGTAATTCATGCAGTTACGAAACGCATAACAGTGTCATATCATTAATCTGGAGAATATTCCGGCGTGACATATGTAATCTTATGTAATATTATTCATCCCCACGTCCAAACCCCGACCTGGTGTACCAGGGACTACACTTCGCCTGGCCTCTACAATTTCACATTTTTGCATGGATGGTCCTACCCTTGCCATCATAGCTCTCCGGGTAACTGGGGAGCACCAACCTGCTCTCTACGATAAGGCGCTGGTCCTCGAGGAGGAACATATGAGATGCGAAATGTTAATCTTCTGGAAATTATTAAGTATTTCTGCAAATACTGCGTAAAACCGTATAGATATTTCAGTTTCTATATCAGTTGAAAGCATTTTCCTTATATCATCAAAATGTGTCGTTCAAAAGGCATATACACGTGTATTACCATTTAATTAGCTTCTTAATTAAATTTTAAATTAAAGTGAGTTATCATCATCATGAAATTATGGATCAGGCGAATTGCTTATTTCGGTTTCTAATATTGTTACATTCGTTCGACCCTTCTCTTGATCTTCCTATGTCTCTGAAGAATGCCGTCTGCTGGGATGTGGCGCGTGTAAATCTTCTGTGAACCGACGTTTAGGAGGAACGTATCGCTTCCATCTTCAAGGTATAAAAGTCCGCGAGCGGGGAACCAGCTTCAGTGTGTGTGGCTGCAGACTCCCTCGACCGTAGATTTTCTACCCTAAAGATGGAGGCCATATATTCCTCCGAAACGTCGGTTCACACAAGATCTACACGGCGTCACATCCTAGAAGACGGAATTCTTCATAGTCACCGCCTAAAAACCTCAAATTGTCTTCTCTCTCGTCTTCTAGATGGACGATATTTATGGGTGGAATGCAAATTAACTAAATAGAACGCAAAATTAGACATGAAATTGCATAACAAACTGCACAGTATTATACACAACAGCCCAAGTATATCCTCTCATGATACAAGGAAATCTAGCTAGAACGTACACGCTCTGAAATTTTACGTAAGGATGGAAAAGCAACAATTCTTCAGAACCTTTGCCTAAACATATTAATTATTAACGTTAGTCATTTATCTAGCTCAAATGCAAATTCTAGTGTTCTATATCTCTAACCACCTTTGCACTGAAACATGCACACACAATCGTTATTTATAAATTCTTTCCCTCTAAAGGAAACGTAAATGAACGTGGAATGAATTTAGGAAGAGTACACACTTAAAATTCTACACCAGGAAGCCACTTGTGTTCAGTTGAATTACATAACAGTTCCAACTTATTTTATCAACATTCCCACTGAATCGTATACACAATGTTTCTCGTACTGTGTATTCTGCAAATCAACGGGGAATTCTGGGTCAACTTTATAGCTCTTCCCTCCAGATTCTGTACGGAGCAGTTTATTCTTTTGTGCCTCGTAACCAGCTTCTGTACCGCTCTTGCCTATCCTAATCAATTTAGCCACTTTTTCGGTTTCCTTCTTTCCCCGTTGCTGTCCATCTAACAGACTTTACCTACTCTCTACCATGAGAATAAACTGATCGGAAAACCGTTAAGTTTTACAAGGAATTCCCTGGTTTTATGAAAATCTTGATAGAACTAATCCATTTGGTCGACTAAATATTCACGATTATATATTTCAGTAATAAATAGGGGATATTATAAATTATTTGCCGGTCACGGTAGCCGAGTGGTCTAAGGCATGTACTGTCTTCGTTCGCTTGGAAACCGGGATCGTGGGTTCGAATCCCACATAGGGCATGGATGTTTAGTTTGTGTGTGTGCGTTTTTCTGTGTTTATGTACAGGTAGAGGCCTTACGAAGAGCTGATCACCCGCCCAAGGAGTCCTACCGAATGTGTAAGATCAAGAAAAACCCTAATTGAACGAAGAAGTTCATGGAGGTAGGTCTAGGCCCACTGGGGCTGTAGTGCCAAGGGGAAAAAATTATAAATTATTTGGGTGTTAACGAATCAGTGTAATTTAGAAAGTGTTGCAGACACACGAATGAAATAACTTGAAAGCTATAAGCAAACTCATAAACTTTTCTTTGGCAAGCAATCTTAATTTCAGCCGATCACTATCAAATGAAAATGGCGGCTCATGTTCAAAATGCACAATATTGCTTGAGGTCTTATGAAATGAGATTGGCGAGATTGCCTCCCCCCCTGCCCCAAATCTGCGGACCTTACTCCATGCGACATCTACGTAGGAGGAAATGCATACACCAACCTCTGATGCAACAGTCACTTCGAGACCAAATTTCACAAACCATAGTTAAAGTCGAAGGGTCACAGTTGCGGCGAAAATGGGAAGAATTTTTACATGACGTTGAAGTTTGCAGAGTGTTTCATGGAGGAAGTACCGAAAGTCCCTAGTTAAAATTCATGATTTCCTTACTCTTTTAAAATTCTTTCATATTTGTGTCTGTAGCCCTTTCGAGAATACACTGATATCACTTCGTTTTGTTTGCGTCCCAACACAACAAATATATAGAAAATACAACAGGATTCATTTCTTAAAGATGATTTCCGACCACCCAAATAATTTGTAATAGCTGTGTATTTTGATTACATGGTTAAGATAGCGTGAATTTTGTCACATGACACAAAATTGCAGAAGATTATTGCTAAATACATATATTCGAAGAGCTCATTAAATTATTTGCAAAGTAAGCCATACTGACAAGTAAAGGCAAAAGTTAAAGCTGTCCCTGTGCTTAACCAATTAAACGCCATACCACGGAGGTGCAGGAGGGAGTGGATGTGTTGCTGCACCATTCTTGATCTCGGCATTAAATGGAGGTGAATTACCCGTTTCACGCCCCGGCTGCTTTGCCCCCAGAACAAAAATATGCATGTTGACAGTGTGGTACTGTATTTTTTTTTATTGCTAGTGGGGTGGGACTAAGTCCATTGTACTGCGGCCACTTCTGGCCTATTGTACGAGCCCCAGATGATAGGTGAGGGTGATTGTGGAGCAGTTGTTGGAATGAAGATTGGCGGGGGAAACCGAAGTACTCGGAGAAAACCTACCCAAGCGTCAATTTGTCCACCACAAATCCCACTTGATCAGACCCGGGATTGGATCCGGACCGCCGCGGAGGAAAGCCAGCGACTAGCCGCTTGAGCTATGGGGCGGCTTAATGTGATAATGTAAGTTTATATCCAATAAAATTAATGTCGACAAAATATGTTCCTAAACAATAAGTTTTTCGCAAAAATAAAATAAAGGAACAATATCAGTAGACGTATAGGTCAATATACCTTTTGTGACAGGAAAGGAGGCTTTGAGATTGCTGTCCTAGCGGCGACTTCTTTCATAGACCTCGTGTAACGAATAGTATACATCAATAATTCTCTTGTTCTCCTTCCTTAACGATCAATGTGGGAAGGCCATGATGTTGCATGCGTTTCATAAAGGATGTCATATCACTCTGTGAATCGCTTCATACGCCATTGCCGGGACTGCCACACGAACGATATATCGTACCAGTAGTCAGCACGAAACATGGGTTGCTGTTATGTGACGACACAAATAATCAATTGGGCAAATAATTGTGTGTGTGTCTACAATTGATCACATGGCACATTTGACGAGCATGTCACTAGAAACTAACGGCCCTTATCTTCTACTTGTCATCATCTATGGAGTTTAATAAATATTCATGAAAATTGTTCATGCTTTCATAGCTACGACGTTACAGTTTTAAAGCATAAGCTGTGTTCCTATTTAGGATGCTTTGCAACATAACTACCGAGACAAGAGGGACCAGCCTGGTCCTCAACATTTCTCTAAACTTATATTCGGGAAGTGCTTGTTTTCAATCTCTACGGCAGCGCCAATTTTCCTACTGACGTATTTCATGGTTTTCCTCACGCCTTTCAGGAAAATTCCAGGAAGGTACCTCGACTGTGCCACTACCGTTTTCTACAAAATCATTTCCAATTCATCATTTTCCTGTCCTATCATCTGAATGTTTGTGGTCTCATATTAACAAAGGTTAGATTGTCTCTAGCCGGTCACGGTCGCCGAGCGGTCTAAGGCTCTTTTCACACTATACGGTTTTGACCGCACGGCAAAAACTCGAACGGCGACATTCTTTCAGTGGAGTGAAGAAGAGCATGGGCCCTTTCACATTACACGGTGACGGCAAAATGCCGTCACTGTGCCGTGCAGCAGCCGTCCACTGCCACTACAACATACGGCGCCCGGACGGCGACCGATAACTCAGTGGTGTACGAGATCAAATGCACCCTTTCACATTAGACGGTTTTAAATCATACGGTCAGTTGCCCTCGAGCCCCTGTAGTTGCAGTTTTGTTACATATTACTTTTTGTTGT